TCGTTAATAAAGCAATGCAATAAAAACCGCGAGAGGATCGAAGTTTGGCTCGTGAACGAAATTGTTCTTCAAGACAGCAAGTAGTAACGACTGAGTTTGAGCGGCCGAATCCCGTATCGCTCGTGATAAGATTAAGTGGTCCGAAATGAGAAAGTAAAGATGGAGAAGAATGACAAAAGCTTTCTGTATGCCCTTTTTTGAGAATCGCTCGCAATTTTTAAAGACTGATCACGATACTCAAGTCGCGTTCGTTCAACTTGAATCTCACCGCGACTTTACGAGCGTAAATCTTTTTGCAATCTCCGACTTTGTTCGCCAAGTTGGAAACGCGCGCTTAAAAAAAGTTCTTTAGCCATTGTTTCTTTATCAAGAAATAACGCAGATAACGTAAAAAAATCGAACGAATCAAGAATCATCTCGAGCAAATGTAAGTATATGAAATTAGATCAAACCGATGTGACACAATGCTTCGTTTCTGGGCATCATGCTAAATCATTTTCGTCGTTTTCATGAAACAGTGTTATTGGATAATTTATTGATCCATGATATTGGCTTAGACGACATCAATCACCTATTGTTATAAAGACCAGTTCGTCATAAATGACGAACGTAACATAATAACGGTGCATGAAAGGAATATAATTACTGCTATGCTACAATGGAAGTATGATCCTTTTGAAGTTCGAATAATGAGACAAGGTGCGCGTAACTGGTAGCATGTTGCGTGTATTCTCGTGTGTGAGTAATACGTGAATTAAATACGCATGTCTGATTCACAATGCAGTCTTCGTGAATCTATACACACTGTAATACGCAAGATACCGCGCCACTGATCCGTTTTTCTATGATGCGTCATCGAAATTCAAAGAATAAAGCGCATCAATTTACGCTTTATTCCTCTGCTCGTTTTCTGCGATAAATTCAAAAATAGATAAAAATAATAAAAGTAAATAAAATAATATAAATTCTATTTTCGGTCGAAGTGGATTTTGGTAGTTAATAATATCCATATACAAGTGCAAATACATTTTTCAGTTCTACAAAATACGCGTCGATTCAATTTGTTGGACTTGAAACGCAATCATAAATTGAAGCTAAAAGTAACATTATAAATCATAATAATCGTTAATAATGCTAATAAATCTTAAAACACCGTTAAAGAATTTATTGTAAAAAATATCACTTCAGTTAAGGTTTAAACCTGAAACTCCAAACTTTCTAGGACGTCTAACAATTTGACCACCATATCGAGATATTTTTTACAATAATTAATGAAAGAATGTCATTTTTCAAAGAGACGTGTACAAACAATTAATAAATGAAAATTAGGCTAATTATTAAACATCAAAATTTGCTTCGACTAAAAATAAATTTCTGTTATTTGATTTATTTTCATCAATTTAATTTTCATTCACATAAAAACAAGAAGTGTTCTGATGAATACCATAATAAAACTTTCTTTTTTTCAATTTCATTATGACATAACTTGTTTAATGATCAAGTTAAAAAATTTAACGCGGAAAGAAATGCTTTATGCAGAAAAAACTGGAAGAAGCTTCATTACTTTCATCAAGCATTATTGGTAACTTGGTATAAACCGGCGTACAGAGTTGCATGACAAATGACTTTCAACCCCATTTATGTCGACTTAATACGACGTGAGAGACTATCCATCTCCAATTTCTGCTTACAGTAGTTAGTCTTCTCAGTATCGCGCGCAATATTCACCGGAAGCATCAACTGGGTTTCAACCTTTTCACGTCACGAAAGTTGGAAGTTTCAACACCGGGAAACAGCAACTGCTCGGTATTCGGGTGTTAATTAATCGACATTTTAAGATAGATACTTGAGATAGATACCGATTCGAGAATCGCTCCCCTCTCACGTCTTCCATAAACCACCCCTCTTCCATCCATCCGTTCTCTTTTGTATGCAATTTCTCCTTCTCTTCCACCTCCACATCTTTCATCGCTTGATAGCAGCGCAAGTTATTACAACAATTCTCCATCTCTCTCGGGTACTCTTGTTACCCGCCGTTAATTAGAGTACAGTCTGCTACCGACGACAACTAACTGCAAAGGAGAGTCTTCAGCGGCGGCGATCCTATATTCCACCACTTCGTTTCCTCTTCGCTTAAACTCACTCCGAGTTCTCTCCCGCCTGATCCACCATCACTGGAGCACGATGTTTGCGGCTTGAATTATTCCAGCGAATCTACACGCAATCCTGGATCACGCTTTAAAGGATCCGCTTGTCTAGCCTAGTCGTTACCGCGACGACATCGCTTACGACGAAGTCAGGATCTAACTGGAGGGACCTTACTAAATGGACGGAGGACGCGTAACGATCTAGAAGATTGATGCGCCACAATGGCGCGTTATACGAGGTTCTCAGTTCTGTTACTACGGTATGTTATGCGTTGCTACTTCGGACTTTGAATAAAGCGACATTCCACTTGGCGAATGTGTATCACATTTGCATCGCCATGCTTATGTGTTGAATATATTTCTGCTAACTTGCTGCTCCTAACTTGTGTTTATTAACAGAAACTTGACATGATACAACACAGATTACTTTTGGATAAAAAATATAGCAGCCGAGTGCTTAATCTTCATTACAGAAATTAAACTAACTACATTCAAACAAAATTAAAATATTAGAATGTTAGAGTCTCTCTAAGCAGAGTATAACTTTAATTTTGGGTTGTAATTTTTAGAAATATCACTTGGTCGTTATGTTTCCTATTACAAATGTTAGCGAGTAAATCTCGGAAAGGCAAGGAAGGCGCAACTTTGCGACTTGTTCATTAAGACAAACAAGGTAAGAGACGTTGGAGTTGTAGAACGGTAGTGCTTAATTTCTCACGATGAAGTTCTAGTGATTAAGACTGCGATCAGACTTCGCGAAAGTTGCAAACTCAAGGACGCTCACCTTCTCATATCAGCTTATACGCGGCCTGTAACGGTAACCTTAGACATAACTGAAGAAAATTGAGTTACTTCGGGCACGTTTCAGATTGATTTCTAGCTAGCAAGGTCCTATATCTTTCTACGGAGCGAAGCGTGATTGGTTTTCAATCCGTTCTACGTGGATCGAATGATCATTCGGTAAAACTCTACTTGGGCTAAACCCTCTTGCAATATCGTTTTCTGGGTGTACGATAATTTGATCCTACTGTAGATACATTGTTACAGATTCCAGATCTCCACGTTTTTCTCTCGGGAGAGTACGTAGAATAAAATACTGTCTATCGACAACCCAACACAGTCGGTCGATCATTTTTATAACATATTTTATCATTTCGATTTTTAATATTACAGTATTTGTAACAATACAAAAAAATTTCTCAGATATTATCATTTTATGAGTAGATTTAAATAAATGCCATATTTTATGTCCAATATTATTTGCAAAAGTGTGACACGTATAATACTATATTTCGACGATATTCCCGCATTGTGTATCGCGTTATATGAGTTTATGGACCGCACAATCTACTTATCATCGCAGCATCTGTGTGTATATGATACAATTTCATTAATACACAAAAGTTACGAGGTCGTAAAGTGAAATAGTTACAGATGGGTAGTAGCTATCGATTTAAACTTTCAACGGTGATAATTAACAGTAAAATATATATAAAACCATCCAGTCTAAATTATATAACGGACTATTCCTGTAATTCGATTATTGCAACGTCCATCAGGCAGAGTGACGGCATTAACGGATAAATGTCCCAGGTTATAAAAATTTAATGTCCGTCGAGATCTGAATACTCGTGAGATTGCTTTTCTCTTAAGCGAGTATTTTATGCATTTATCATCATTCCCGGTTTGACGCTCCCTGTTATGCGAGCAATAGATTAAATTTTGAACTAATTTTTCCAAAGAAATATCATTATAATCATTTCACGATTGCATTAATGAAACATATCTTCACAGCAACGTCTAATTTGCTCCAATATCATTATAAAATTTGGATTAAAATTTTCTTTCAAAGCATTTTAAAATATAAAGTACTAGTAATAACAATAAAGTAAATTAAATGCTTCAAGAAATATTTAATGTTCTATTTTATTATTCTGTCGATCTTGTTTATAGAAAACTTTAAGCCAATATTAATTAATTAAAGTAGATGTTATCATCTGTTATTTTCTTTTTTTTTTTAATTTTAAGGAATATTGTAACTTTTAACATTTCATTAATACCATAATAACACGCGTTTGAGGACTTCTATCCAACTTTAGATAGGTTCATTTCACTTTGATGTCTCTTTTCTCAATTGCCGTGCAGAAAGCTGATGCGCCATTAATTGTACTCGTTTGCGCGAACTTTCAGCCAGTCGTGGCTCGTTAATTGACACTATCAATCCTTCGTACAGGTTATCGTGAAGCATACTTTCGCGTTCGCCACTCGTCGTTTACGTTATAACCCTGATTGCCAAAGTTCGAATCGTTATAAAAGATTCGGAGAAATGCGAAAAAATAACGTTGCGCGATATTTCATCGTTTACTGCGTCACTTCTTTTCTTCCTTTTTCGCTTTCTGGGACGAATGAAAATATGTCGCGTAAAAAAGAGGAAACGCGTATGTGCTCGTTTTTGACATGTTTTTTCAGCTCAGTAACGAAGCGACGCGCGGTCCGAAGCATAATTTATCATAATGTATTATTATATGAAAATGAAGATTAGTGTACGTGACAACTGCAAATATCGCATGTTCGTACATTCCGCGGGTAAACCATGAGGAATGATAAATGACGTTAATAAGTCACATGCACAAGAAATTAGTGACACATTATTATATTTTTACTCTAACAAATTTAACATTTACTTTATATTTTATTACAGTCATTACATCAAAAATGTTGAGTACTTGAAATTATGATAATTATAACTAGAAAATATTAATCCAATTTTATCGTCCAAAACACGGTCCAATCTTCTTTCTGTCTCGCTATCATCGCTTTGCACTAATAGTAAAGAATAACAATTGTACTCACTGTATCCTCCTACGTAGATTGGCGTCCATGTTACTTGAGTATAGGCCAAGGGAGTTGCTGCGAATAACACGGCGCTGAACCATACCGCCCGACGTACCGCACTCATTTCACTAAAGGCCTCGATAGTCGTCATTTTTTCCTCACGTTTCAATCAGTTATCCGTCTCGACATCATCTTCTCCAACATACCTCCGCTGTACCTCCTCTCCGCTTTTATTCGCTACGCTCGTTTCCTTTTTTTCCTCTCTTTTTTTTCCGTCCGAATACGGGCGCCCAACAATACGTCACTGCCGTTGAATATCTACGCAATCGAACGAAACTCTCGATACCACCGTCGTTTTATCCCGCCGCATCTAATAGCTCGGTATTTTCATATCATTGCAATCCGAACATTGCCGCCCGACGGATAATAGCTCGAAGGAAATTACAAGAATACGCTGCTGCGTGATTTATACACGCATAATATTTATGTGCAATTCAATTAAAGTTCTCAAAAGAATGATTTAAAGAATTTCATTAAATCAAGTCTGTGTAATAGGAGCGAAGGATATTGACATGCGAATGGATTGCCGAGGGATGAAGATTCGATAGCGATATTAATTTTGAGAATCAAAGGTAGAGAAGATATCAAGATTTGTGCCATTGATTGAAAATAGAAAAGAGTGAAGCGTTTTTATTGGGCTCGCGAGAGTAATTAATCTTGCGGATTCTGGGTCATGGTCGAGTGCGAGACGATAGGACTGAGCTCGCGAGGCAGCGAAATTAATTAATTAAGCACGATCACGCGTCTCCGCTCTGGTTGATGCTCGACACGAATTGGTGCTTGACATACTCCGTTATATTACCATTGACGACAGATATGGAAATAGAATGGATTTAGAATAAAAGAGATAACGGCCGGTCGTTGTTTATCAGACACACTTTTTCCGCGTCATTGAGCGAAATAGCTTTACGTCACGTAAAATTTTGCACTCTCGCTGCCGTTATTCCTCTTCTCGGACAGAATCTTCATTTCTGCACGAGTCCTGATTTATGCACCCTATACTTCACGTTCCTTCTTCTCAGAACGTATTACTCCGTTCCTTCGGGTATAACATGAAGACACAATCATCGCTTTTACCGACGGCGATCGCGAGAGTAACGGCCTTTCTACTCCCGCTGCTCTTCTCTACTTTTTTACGCTCGTAACATGTGCGAGACCGTTACCACTATTTTCCGCCTTTTTTCTTCCTTTCGGATCCACCAGACGCCGGTTCTTTCTCACTCCCAAGCGGAATTAGACTCATGTAGACCCTTTACTCGTCTTCTTAAATTCTTCAATGACTTTGCCCAGATCAAAAAGCTTTTTTCCACCGATACGAAATCCCGTCTGCAACAAAATAGCGAAATATTTCATTAGAAGAGTTCCTTTGACGGATGATCATTAAGAGATGAAGCACAGACCAAGTCTCAAAGAACTCCTGTGGAAAATTCCAAGACTAAGGGAAACTATTGGAACCTATTTTCCGCAGATTTACACGACCGACAGAAGCGGCTTTTCTAAATTAAAGCATTTGTCAGATTTTTCACGTGGAATTTTTATTTGCACAATAAAAAATAAAAATTCAAAAATTCCACTCAAGGATTGCGTCCATAAAACTTGAATATTCAGTAATATTATTTACAAATAGAAAATCCTTTTAAATTAATTGATAAATCCTATTATATTGATATATTACATATAATAATAATAATAGCATATGTAAATATACTTGTATGTAAAATACAAATGTGCATATAGTATCGGTTGTTCGGAGAATTATATTTTTTATAATAATGCGTCATTTTATTCAATTACTTATTACTTATAAATATAATGTAACAAAATAAAATATAAAATTTTTAGAAGTAGATATCTATCGCAAAGATAGATAAATTGAGAATAAGAGAGAAAATGTCTTTAATGACTATTTAAAAACTTAACAAAATATGTTAATAGAATAGAAAACCACTTTTTTCTATTCATTAAATTTTATCGCTTATTTTATCTAATTTTTCTGAATATAAAACGTGAGAGCATGACGGACATAATAATTATCTTATACGGTTACTTTAATTTCCGTCACGTCTCAATCGGAATGAAATTCATATCGCGACGAGCGAGAAGAGACCGCATAGTTTCTAGGACTCGGCTGCGATGGCATTTGCATTTTCATCTGCTTGGAAATGTCGTCGATGTCTCGTTAGCGTATCTCCATCGAGGCGACGAGCGGTGCATAAGACGGAGGTCATGGTTGCCCCGTAATGTTTCACGAGGTCGCTATAGCGAGGACTTTGGAGGCCGAAGAGGATGACGACCCCATTATATGGTGACGCCAGCGGAAAGCAGAGGGAGAGAGTTGACAATTCAGTTGTATATAATGTGACAAGCCAAAGTTATCCCATCGTTTTGCCGCCAAGTGTTATTCACTCATCGCGTTATCTTTCGCCCGTTTTATCACGAACTTGTCCAGCAGTTATGAAAGCCACTCTGCGTTCTGCAAGGACGACCTTTATACATTACCTCATATAGCGCATCGGTGGACACGATCGGGTGCTTAGCTGCAGGAACTACCTGTTCTTCTCTCCCCTCCCCCACTTCTAGTCCTTACTATGCACTTATCGCTCGTCCGCCTTATTAGCTCGTGCTATCTTCTTAACTGCTCTTAACACTACTTTAACCGAGATTCCTGAACACTTTCCTGCACCGTAGCATTTTCCGGTCTACGATTACGTTCAAAGTAGAGAGCAACTTGCAACTTTCGCCGTCGCATCATTTCAGGATAAAGAAAGTAACTCTGTTAAGGACGTTTTTCTCAAGTGTATAAACTCAACTCGTGTAAATAACAGCATTTCATAGTCTTTCTTTTTCTTCATCCAACATTCATTTGTTTGGACAAAATTCTTTTCTCTCCTTTGTCTCTTATGTCTCTTTTTATATCATGTAGAAGTAAAAGAAGAGAAACGTTGGACAAATAACTACCTGTTTTCTTCCATCAAAATAGAAATAATTGCGTTAGAAAGTCTGATCAGATGCTGACTTTATCTACTAGAACATTTTTGTAGTACAATTGCAATGTTTATTACGTCTTTCTTGTCATGCTTTCAATTATTTTTTGCCGCTACCACGGATACAAATGATATTTTCATTCGTTAGATTAAAATGTATTTTAACAGCAATATATGTATATCTGATTCAAATTGTTCCGTCCGCAATAGTGGTTTTTAGTTATTCCATACCACTGAGAGATCTCGTATTCAACAGCCACCTCGTTTGATCGCCTCTTGCATACGATCCTCCAATTATAATTTGCCACCCCTGTCAGACACCTTCATCGTAACCGTGTCAAGTATTTCCCCTTCCAGAAGTGTTCGTTCCTTCCTTTTATTTTCCTTTCCTTTTTAAGCAATCTCCATTGAGAAGCAATTGCCGCTATAAACGGGTCTATCCGAAAGGTGCCAATGTAGTTAATTTAATCCAGATGCTGATTGGACACGCAGCCAGGGAAACAGTGATCGAAATAGAAGAAGATGTAACTGAACTCAGCATGAAAGAGCGAAAAAGAAAGCCGTAAGTGGCTTGTGATTGTGTCATGCAATTATGGCTAGTTCCGTTTGATAAAACCGACCTAACGGTAAAAGAGGGTTTCGGTGAAGGAGAATCAGCGGTTACCAGAATGTCAACGACACAAAGGTCGGGTCAGCTCTGTCTCTTTTTTTCCTCTTTCTCTCCCTTTCTATATCTCTTCCCGACCCAGCAATCTGCAATTTGCTTCCCGCTTGGAAATGTTTTCTATTCGAATTGTCTCCGTTTTCAGTTATTACGTTTCGCTATGTACACACACACACACACACACACACACACACACACACACACACACACACACATATAAGTAAATAGAAATAATGCTCATAATTATTATAATCGAGCATCTTTCGCACGTCGCCAACACAAGCAGTAATATTTAATGTCCATGCCAAGACTAAATGGCCAAGTTCTCCATAGGAAGATCAAATGTCCGAAGAGGCAAATAGCTACGAGTAAATAACATTTCTCGTTGCAAAGATAATTACTCGGGCCGCAGTTCGCACGAGTTCACGCCGTGTGTCTGGAGTTTGCCTCGTTTCCTCTCTCTCTCTCTCTCTCTCTCTCTCTCTCTCGCTCTCTTTCTCTATCTCTCTCCTTTCCTCACCCTTTGTCTAACCCTGTTTCTTGATGCCCCGGCAACTTCTCGTTTAGCACCGCCGCAAATTAGCCTGCAACCGCGTTTTCTGCGTCCATCTACAAGCGCTGCAGCGAGCGCGTACGCCGTTTTCGTTTCAAGGTGAAGCACATGTTCTTTGGCCGAGACTTAATTAAAGGAACGCTATCTCTTGTGGAGATATTAGCTCGCGCTGCCTGGTTTAATTTAATGCTCATTAAATGTTCATTTAATAAGGTGAAAAGAATTATGTAGGGCTCAATCATCTTTGACTTGAAAGGGTTACCAAAGCATAAATAATATATAATAGCTGTATGAAGTGTAGCTCCTTTCGCACAAGTATGCCTTTGATAGCACTAAATATTTCCAGCTATGCAAAATTTCGAATTAAACCAGAGAGACGCGAATAATAAATTTATAATTGAATATACGATATATTTGAAAAATTAGAAGAAAAATTTAAATGTTGTACCAATAATTCGTCATTCGCTATAATATATCTTGAGACAATAAAAACGTTAACTCTGACTAATAATTAGTCCACTGATTTCTGCTGTAAATGTGCACGGTTATTGAATGTACGACGATCCAACGTAATTATTAATCGAATTAGGCTTCAATTAAACGGAATATCGATTAATTACGCATCAGAATGTATCTTAACACGCTCCACAATCAAGGCCTTTAATTGTCTGTAGCTTTAGATGACTGTGCGCTTCGTAGTATAATTAATCATCTGACCATCCTGCCGATCAAACCACTCGAAGTGATCTTTCTTGTGAATCACTAGCTGTAAATTCGAAATTAACGAGCAAAGTCATTCGCGCGTCATACTAAGATTAACACGTATATAATGATACTGAGCAACAAAATAGTCATTGTTACGTAAAATTTTATTGCAAGATACGGAAGATAAAAATTAAATAGACACTAAATAAATTATGATCTAAATTATTGTATTTAATATTACTATGTGTGCTTACATAAATTTTCTATACACTTATAGTATAATAATTTTCCAAGTATTACACAATAGAAATTGTACGATAATTCGTTTGTAAATACTCATTTTATCGATATTCCATTAGTAAGTATTTGTTGAAATATGTAAAGTAGAAGCAGCCATGCTTGCGGCTTCGATTGTCGTTTGTTGTTACAGTTGGAAGATATATTCTTGGATAAGACTGCATGATAAAGATATATGCATCGAGCATTAATATTCAGGTCAGACCGAGCGTGAATTCTGTAGCGAATGTCGCACTATACTATAGTTCCACAAGCGCTTCTCAGGATGTACTCAAGTTGTATTCGCTGTTTCGCAGAAACACACATTAAACGTCGTTGATGCCTCTTATTTACGGATGTAATCACATCGTATTCAAACGTCAGTATTTCTTGGAACTGTTGTTATCGTCAGATAAATGTGTGCTTCCATGTAAAATTCTATAAATCTCTTTCGAGAAACTTTGAAAAGACCATATTTAAAATCAACCCAACCGTATTTTTAATTTCGTCATTATAAAAAATTTATTTAACCATTAAAAGTATTGATTAATAAATTTATCGTCTCTCTCTCTCCCTCTTTCTCTCTTGAATTCGTTTGCCTGATAACTTTTTCTTCTCCGTTCTAGAGAACACATCGACTGCACAATTATCACATCTCCATAATCAGTCAGGTTTCTAGCAGTGGTCCTATGTTTGCCAGCCGGAACACGGTGCATTTAGTTTCTAATGGAGCTTAGCGACTAAAGATAATGACACGTTCGTTCCGCAGCAGCGAGCAATCTCCGTCCGAAATGTCGCAGCACTGCCTCGTGCTAGTCCAAGCACCAGACAATATTTGTTTTTCACTTCAACAACTACGGCAAACGTAACGCCGCGTTGTTTGCAGAAGTAGAACTTCGAACTAGCTATCAAAAGGATAGGGAACGTCTCGTACATGTTTACCGAAGCGATG